TTGCTGCGGGCAACATATGTGTTCCTCGGGACGCTTCGTTCAACGCGAACACCATCTTCAACGCGAAGTCGTCATTACCGTCGCCAACAATCAAAACCTGCGCACACGACGACAAGGCGTAGTGCAACTTCAGTCACGAGAAACAAACGTCATACTGCAGATGTCCAAGGTTTTAATAGCAGAAGGGCTCGGATACAACTTACTGAGCGTCAGTCCATTGATGGCGAAAGGAATCCACCTCGAAGCAGACAGCACAACACAGGAGTTCAAGCTGTACTAAAGGTGGCCTCTACATCGGCAAGGCCGTACTAAAGAACAACGTGTTCGTCCTCGACTTTGTTCCAGACCTAGGCACCGCCGACAGCGACGGAATCGTCACTTTCACCTCCTGGACGCACCCACCAGATCTCGATCCAGACTTCAGCCCCGGAGGATTCTGGTATTCGCACACCATTCCTGAAGCAGAACGAACAAGAGCGTTAGCAACGATTCAACATTCGGCAGCAGCAGAGACAACATCGGCAGCAGCAGAGACAACAACGGCAGCAGCAGAGACAACATCAGCAGCAGCAGAGACAACATCGGCACCAATCGCCGGTCCTTCAACTGCACCAGCCCCAATCGACGACGACACCCCACCAACTCCTGCACAACAGCTGAATCCAACACCTCGAGAAGTACATCGAAGCGCTAACTTCACCGCCAGCTTCTACTCCAACTCCGACCTGTACCGACGATCACCCGGACATCGCGCCGACGAAAGCACCTGGCACGCAAGGATGGGACATCCAAGCAACACAGTATTAAATAATACGATAAGAGCAGGAGTACTCGACAAGGACTCACTACTACTGACTGATGGAAGAGAACTTCAACGCGTACGTGGAACGTGTTTCACCTGCCCTGAAGCTGACTTACCGCATCAACCGTTCGCGTCTCACCATAACCCAAGCGCACCAGCTTACGCGCCACTCGAGAAAGTGTACAGCGACATCCTGTACAATCGCGAAACGGGGCAGAACGCGTACAATTACACCATCACGTTCATCGACGCCGCGACACGTTACGTTTGGCACCTGAATCTTCCAAGCAAGGATATGGCGTTCGAAGCGTTCGTCGCCTGGCTCCCCGTAGCAGAAAGGGAATCGTGCGTCAAACTAAAAAGCTTCCAGTCAGACGGGGGAGGAGAATACACCTCACAAAAGTTCAAGCAGTACCTGGCAGAGAGAGGAATCAAGCGGCTCATTTCCCTTCCCTACGCCCACCAACAGCAGGGTGTAGCAGAGAGGATGAACAGGACCCTCCAGAACACCATGCGGAAACTGTTACGTGGCATGCGGCTACCCACTCACCAGTGGCCGGAAGCAATGGACCACGCCGTGATGCTGCACAACTTGCTTTCTTCGTCATCACTACCGAACAACACATCACCGCATCTGCTGTGGACAGGAAAACTGGGCAGCACAAAAATGTTACGAGTCTTCGGCTGCATGGTACAGTACCGATCTCCATCTGCACGAGCAGGACGATTCTCTCAGCGCGCACAGTGGGGACTACACCTGGGCATCGAAAAACACTACAACGCATGGAAGATTTTCGACGTCGAAACAAAAGAAACAGTGGCAGCACGTGATGTCATTTTCTACGAGCGACTCACACTGCAGACGTACCTTGCCAACCTGGACGAAAACCGAGACCCCACAGGTGGCTTCCGTGGAGACCGAGCCTTCGCTTCGACAGAAGATGAAGCTGACCTGGACGAGCAGAACGTGGAAGGAGCCTCGGAAGAAGCCGGACCCCTCCCCTACTGCTCCGTTGACGTACCAATGGACGACCAAAACCCACGTGAAAGCATCAACGCCGACGCCTACTACCATTTCGCTGACAACGGTTATGTTACACCTGCACAAGTCAACACCGACGAAGCAGAACGCGTAGGACCTAATTTCGCACCTGATCCAGAAGCGGGAGACGAAGCAGTTTATCCCGAGGACACTTCACTCCCCCGCTACACACAGAGTGGACTCCAAATCCTTGGTCTCGTCACCGCAGTTCACGGCGCAGCCATTCCTAAAGAGTCTGCGACAGTTCAACAGGCTCTGGGGGGGGAACATAAGGAAAAATGGCGCGAAGCCATGGACAAGGAGTTAAAGGCGCTGGAGGAACGCAACACCTGGAAAGTCGTCCCCATTGGCGTAGCACGTAACAAAACAGTACTCACCGGGAAATGGGTCTTCCGCGTGAAGACGAAGGCCGACGCCACCATTGACAAATTCAAGGCACGCTGGGTCGTGCGCGGCTTCGACCAAGAACACGGGCGAGACTTCACCAAAACTTTCGCTCCGGTCAGTCGACACACTTCGCTCCGAATCCTTCTCGCGATCGCCGCCATGAAGAAAAAGAAGCTACGGCAAATCGATGTCGCGAACGCATTTCTCTACGCACCCGTTGACGCAGAAATTTTCGTGGAACTACCGCACGGTACCAACGGGGAGCCCAACCAAGTCTGTCAGCTGCTAAAGTCGCTCTACGGGATCAAGCAAGCCCCGCGACTATGGCAGCAGTACCTGCACGCTCGTCTCATTCGCATCGGCTTCAAGCAACTACCACACGATCAGGGGATGTATCGACTCACGAAAGGCGCAGATTACATCCTACTAATCGTCTACGTAGACGATCTTCTCTACATCGGCTCAACCGACAGCGTCACCACCTGGTTCGAAGGGGAGCTGCAGCAGGATCTCACACTGACAGTCTCAGCTACCGTTACACAGTACCTCGGGCTCAACATCCGGGAAGAGGAAGACGCCATCTACCTCAGCGCCGCGAAATACGCCGACACCATCGCCAAGCGCTTCACACTCACACCAACTGCTATCTCCACACCGTACCGCTACACGACAGGAAACAACAAAGAAGGCTCCGCTCTGCTCAAGCCCGCCGGCATACGCGACTACCAGAGAAAGCTGGGCTGCCTTGTCTTCGCAGCTGTCACCTGCCGCCCAGATCTATCGTACTCTGCAAGTCAACTCGCCACCTACCTCAAGAAGCCCGAAGCGGAACATCTAGCAGAACTCGACCGCGCTCTTCATTATCTCATTAGCACCCCGACGACTGGTCTAACTTATTACAAGAACGCAACTACGCCGCCTAAGTTAATCGGCTACGTCGACGCCGATCACGCTGGCGATTCCGACAACAGGCGTTCTCGCACTGGCTACATCTACCGCCTCGAACCTATCGGACCTATCTCTTGGCAGTCGAGTAAGCAGGAATTAATCACCCTCTCGTCAGCTGAAGCAGAATATATTGCACTCTGCTCAGCCACCAAGGAAGGACTTTACCTTCGCGAACTGCTGGAAGAAGCGAAGCTGGCTCAGTTACCCAGCTTCACTCTGTTCTGCGACAACCAGTCGGCAATTCGCATTGCCAACAAGAACGGCTTCGCGAACAGGACGAAACACATCGCCCTGCGATATTTCTTCGTGAAGGACGAGATCGAGAAAGGGAGGCTCGAGCTGTCATACTGCCCCACGTCCGAGATGGCAGCTGACTACCTGACCAAGAAGCTCGGAAAGCAGAAGTTCGAGTACTGCATGTTGCTGACTGGACAGAGCCACGTCACCAGCAGCGACACTCCAGAAGCGAAGGGGAGTGTTGGAAACAATTAGTTCTAAGCGCCTCTGTCGTGTCGAAACACCAAGTCAGAAGCGAAGCAGAGCATATCGAAACACAAGCGAGTCAACCCTCGGAGGTTGAGCAGTTGCTGGAGGTTACGCGAAAGTCAAAGGCCAGCGACCTTTGACCTGACAAATACAGCGCGACAGCAAGGACACACAACTGACTCGCTACAGAGCAGTTGCCCGAGTCGTCACTGTATCGAACCGCAACAGCAACAGTAAAGTAGTTACAACCGTGTCTCTTCGTATTCCTTGTACTCTTATATAATCTTGTATCTCTTTGCTTTAATCAATGGACTTTGCCCTCACATACTAGCGCAAGGTGGTTCACAATCTCTTCACTAAACGCTTCCGCTAATTACAACAAGTCCTACCCAGAGTTCACTCCTGCAAAGATCCTAAGGGCTTTCCTCAGCCCAACAACGTGTATAGGCCCCACTACCAGAGGTACCCCTTTGACGGCGCGGAATTCCTCGGCCATCTCATCAAGATCCTCGCAGGTCGGGAAGTGGACCCACTGCTGTTTGAAGACCGCCACGAACAGCTCAGCATGAGGAAGGGCACAGCACGAGGCTATGCCATAGTTGCAACGTCAACAGGCACTGCAGTATGTTTGTGTTGCTTGGCGGTTGTACCGGTACTTGTACTAGTGCATTTGCCTTGCACCTGTGTGTGTTGTTCCTATACCAACTCGTGGCGCCTCATTTGCGATATGCATTACTGTGCCCAGCTTTGTGGGACCCGTTTCATGCACATTGGTTTTGCAACTCTGCCCGGCGCCAAAACGTCAAGGATCGAATCAAATGGGGTCGGCCAATAAAAGGTCGCCAACTGTACCCCTCTTTCAGTCGCACAATGTCGCGGTACATCAGTTCTTTGTGACGCGAGGATGGGCAAATTTACAGGCGCGACTCGGGAAAAAGGGGATTGAGACACAAGTGTCCACACAGGAATGTACCCTTTTGTAGACTGAGGGGAATGGTTGCATTAGGTCAAGAGAGGGGTACAAGACAAGTTGTACCCCTAAGGAGCAACTCACTACAGGCTACACTAATATATGAGATATAACTTTGACAACACCCGCCAATCTACGGCCTCGGGTGAACATAAAACCCGTCTCTCATCAAGTTAGTCAACAGGCGTGTTGTCTCATCTAGAGTGTGGTTGAACTTTTCTGGCCTCCATGGAGGGGTGGTGATTGAGCCCTGGAACAGCCTCCACAAACACCTCGTCCACTACTGCCTCCCTGTCAATCTACAGCCACAGATGCACGTAAAACTCGCCAATTTACGGTCATAGATGCACGTAAAACCCGCCAATCTATGGCCATGGGTGAACATAGAACCCAGCTCTTCTCAAGTCGGTCAACAACCGTGTTGTCTCATCTAGCGTGCGGTTGAACTTGTCTGGTGTCCACGTGAAGGCCTCCATGGAGGGGTGGTGGTAGTGCACCTCCACAAAGAGCTCGTCCACGATGGCGCGCATGCGGGGGATGGCCAGCCACTCGTGCAGCACGGCCCACTCCGCCCCCTCTATGTCCATCTTCACTATCACCGTGTCGTCTTCTGTCAGCTGCAGCTCGTCCAGCAGCCATCGAGTCACGTTCACCGTGTTCTGTGGAGGGAAAAGGGGGGAGGATGGGGAATGGGGGGGAGAAGGAGGAAGATGGGAAAGGCGTGGCGGGCAGAGGAAGGGAAAGGAAAGAGGGGGGGGGGGGGGGGGGGGAGGGAGGGGAGATGAAGAGGAAGAGGGAAGGATTGGGGAAGGAAAGAGAGGTGGAAAAAAGGGGGTGGAGGAAAAATGGGGGGGAGGGAAGGGAGGAGTTAGGGGGTGGAAAAAAAGGAGTTAGGAAGTGGGGGGAGGGAGGAAAGGGAGTAGTTTGAGGGAAAAGGAGGAACTAGGAGGAGGGGGGGAACGCGAGTGGTTAGGAAACGGGAAGGAAAAGGAGTTAGGAAGGGGGGAGGAAAGGGAGGAGGGGGGTAGCGGGGAGGAATGGGAGATGGGAGGGACGGGAGGAAGGAGGAAGGCAAGGGGGAGGGGGACGGGAGAAATTGGGGGAACAGGGGGGAGGAAAGGAGAGGGGTAAGCAAATAAAATCTAGCTTTCAGACGAATCTAAACCCCTTTAGGGAAAAGATGCAGGCGGGCGGAAGTGGGGGGGGGGGAGATAAACTGCGGAGCGAGGGTGGCAAGCTACACCTCAATAGCAATTCACATACTGGTTGTTCATTTTTTCTTCTTCTTCGTCTTCCAGGTGTAACAAATGTTCATTCCCCTAGGCGGTTACCTCTTCTTGGTTGTCCTGAGAAGAGATGAAGAAGTTGTAGGGGTGAACGCGGTCCATCAGCCACGCAGGGAAGCCTGCAGGGCCCCTGCCAAATGGTCGCACACGAGATTGCGTGTTGATCTCGTATGCCGGTACCTGAAACAGTGAAGAGCGGTGCAGAACAGTAACAAGTGGTTGGGAAGAGTGTGTGTGGCATGAAAAAATGATTATGGGGTTATGGATTTGAGAGCGGTGAGTGGGGGGGAAAAAATCAGCAGGAGGGGAAAATTGAGGGAGAATAGAAAGGCAGGAAAGGCCGGGGTACGTGGGGACAGACTGCGGGATTATGCCCCCACACTCCGTCAGTTTTTTTAGACCCTGCGCTGGTTTTCTAACCTGACCAGCCAGAAGTATTTCTAGCATATGCCCCATCCCTCGCAAGCATAGAGGTATGTGCGCTAGCGTGGACATATTAGTGTGTGGAGTATGCTATCTGCTTAAAATTTCACTCAGTAGCTCCCTCTGTCTCTGTTTTCCGAACCCTCTTCCTCCCAACCAACCCCCTCAACTGCTGTTCACATAGGAATGTTTCCTTCTTCAAGATGTGTGTAATAGTGTGAGATTTTATACTCACCTCAAGCGGCGGTGTAGATGGTTTCTGGAACAGGTCAGTTTCCACTTCCACTGCATGAATCTCGGTGAAATCGAGGGGATACATTGGAAGAAACCAGGTGACACTTGTATCAAACATATTGGCTCCGAGGTCTATAAGCACCCTCCGCTTCCTGCGAAATCGCGGAATTTCGGGGAACGATAGGGAAGATGGGGTTTGATTCATGGCAAGGGGGAAAAACACCAAGCGAGTATTTTGGCGAAAGCGACGGGTGCATTTGAAGCACTCAGGCGACGCAACTGTCGCAAACCTAACCTCCTATCTCCGACATCTTTTAGCACCCACCACGTTCTGCGACTTAGGAAATTTTAGGAGCGAAGAACGGAAGAGACAGCATGGCCTTTTTATTTCGATGATCTACAAAACTAGGTTGCGGGAGCAAGCAAGCGCAAGTCGTACGAAATCAAATATCGACGTAGATTACACGGATTTGTTTTCTGTTCGATGGTATCCTAACATATATCGACGGGATATATCGGATTTCGAACCCGATTCCTGCGAAATGCGGAGATGGAAAAACGGAGAGAGGATTGAAAAAGGAGGGATTATGGGGACGAAGGAAGTGCTTTTTACCTGTTAATCCTCGGACTCTATACCTCTTAATAACGACCAACATTTCATCTAATCCTGGCCGTAACAAAATTACAACGCATTACCCACCTCCTGTGCAAGCTGGGATCCATATTTGCTCTTAGGAACGGTAAGATCTGCGTCTTGTCCTCCACGTCGTCCACGAAGCCCAGGGTCCACCCGCGACGGAAGTTCATGTGCGTCTAGCTCCTCTATTGGCAGCCCCGCTACAAGGCACGGGGAAACGCGCGGTGTCCACTGCGCATTGTGGGTGTAGGCAAAGCGACGGGACGAGGAGGATGGCATGAAAATGTTCGTTGTGCGTTAGAGTTGCATAGTAGTATGTCCAGTTGGCTTGTGTTTGTGCTGGACGCCTAGCGTGATATCGTCATAGGTCGAGAGGGTCCATCCGAGAGGTTGAATGTAACCCAGTACTAGGGAACAACCTAGTTCGCGAATAGTCGGAACATTTTTCGAGCTCCGAAAGAACTGTACTAGGAACAACGTCAGCAGTGACGATGTGGCGCGGCAATGTCTTTCCGTTAACGCAATAAATCTCGCAAAATTCTTACTCCGCGGCCGCGCATATCTGCCAGGAACTGTAAGGCTTCGAGGTGATTGGTACCTTAGTAAACGCCCACGCATCCTCGGGACCGTCTTGCGGCGACGAGCTGCTATCTCCGCCATTTTGCACTACCGGAGTGACTCTGCTGGTTTATATCCAATCAGAGCACGACTGAGCTGCGGCGCCGCCTCCGGTTCTGCCTCCGCCTGTGATGAGACTTAGCGCTAAGTCGCAGTCGCACGGCGCGCATCGTTGGGGAAGCTGAACGGCAACGAGCGCGATAGAGCATAGGAGGAGCAGCGTCGAAACTACCGCCCAAGCGAGCGCCACGGGATACGGTACTATCGACTCGACGTTCTTAATCTGTGATTTCATTGGCGAGTAGTCGTACATCATGCTGGGTGACACAGTCATTGCAAATGCTATACTTGTTTCTTCGACCGATTGAAGCACTAACAGGAGTTGATTGAAGAACAATGACTGCACGACGCGATAACTTGAGAGTGTCCGCCTTGTGGCTGTGTCAGGTCTTGGAAGGGTGTCTGTCGAAGGACACTCGCTCACAAGGCGTGTTGTTGTCAAAGGAGCTCGTTCTGGCATTCGAAAGATGATCTGTGGTTGGACGTGCAAGCGTGCGGCAGCCTCGCGACGAGGATTCTCGCCAAAGCATCAGTTCGTTGGCATCGCTGGGATGAATTTCGTCCACAGGATTTGGTTGGCTGGATATATCCGTACTTATCGCCCTTGAGGTGTGAGGTATATTTTCCGGTCTGACTTGTTGCGTCGCGGTACAAAACGGTGGTCTTCAAACAATGTTTCCCACCGTACGGAACCGTCCAGAGCCACGAAGAAACGAACTGTAGGCAGTACGAGCTTCATGGGCGGTAGGTGTGGCGAGGGCAGCCATGAACGGCAAGGTGTTGGAATTGTGGATCAATCAAATCCCCATCACGTGGTTGGACGGATTCGTGGCTAGTATTGGAACTCGATACGGACAGGCCCGTAGTCTTCACAAAAGAGGCAGCATTCCCAATTTTCTAAATCCAAAACAAAAACGAATTGAGATCAAGCAGCAGAGCAGAGCAGACTGACTGGACTATACTATAATTTGTGATTGAATGCTCAGCAGTATTAACATTGTAAAACTAAGCATTCCAATCCAATGCTACGGATTGTCTGACAGTCAGAGTGATTCTGATGGCAAGATTTTTACCATGTGTCACACATCCGCTGTGACACAGGCCGTTCTATGTAAAAGGCAGGCGTTTCAGTAAATCGTGGCACCCAGATTTGCATAACACGGGGTTGCAGAAATGTACCCTCAGGCTGCTGAAACCCATGGAAAACCTGAGCATCGTTACTAATGTGCCTCTGGTGAGATTACAAGTCCAACAGGTGTCAACCACACTCGGCCACCAGGCACACCACAAACATTCATCCCTTCATGCTACTGCTTCAATTGCCCTCTCTTCCGCAGCATCCATGCCAGCTATTCCAAGAATCCGAAGCCGAGTCAATTCCTGGCAATGTGAAGCCACCGCACAGATACGGTATTTAGAATTGGTGTAAGAGAGGTGAAGGGCAGAAATGAAACAATCTGGGGTAAAGCCATGACGACTAGCACATAGATTGGACACTGGCATCACTCTAGCTGCTATGACGTGGAACAGTGATGATGTGGCTGGCACCGCCAGGTATTGCAACATGCAGATGACTGGGAGGGAGCAAAGTGTGATAATGATGAAAATGTGCAAAAAATGGAAAGCCGACAGGAGCAAGAACAGCATTCACATTTTGGCTACATTGCCACGACTTCAGCACTTGAAGTGCATCACACCCAACACAATTCATGCTCCACCAGAGTCACGAACAACATGAGTCTCTGTCAACCACAGTCACGAACAACATGAGTCTCTGTCAACCACAGTCACGAACAACATGAGTCTCTGTCAACCACAGTCACAAACAACATGAGTCTCTGTCAACCACCTGTCTGTAACCATCCCAGCCAATCGCGCAACACACTCACTTGTCGGTGACCGTTAGTGCAGCCATAGTGCCTCCTCTTCTCTCGAGCACTATCATTCTGAAACGATTCCAGTCAACCAGTCAACCAGTCAACCACTCAGCACACTCACCTGTCGGTGACCATTGGTGCGGCGGTAGTTCTTTCTCCTCTTCTTCTTGAACACTATCACCTTGGCGTCAAGAGCCTGCAAACATACAGCAGACGAAGACGTTTCAAAGCAGCAGGCACACAGCAGCAGGTATTTCAAGACGGCTAAAGGCATACGAATCGTTCTCCACCCAAGCGAGACGTTTTGAAGCAGCAGGCACTGTGTACAGTTTTCTCAAACACACCTACCCTAGCATCGAGTTGAGCCTAAGAGAAACGGGTGAAAAGTTTGCCTGCACAATGTGAGACATCCTCCCATACAGATACAGTGAACCTCAAACCAGGCTTTGGGTTTGAAATCTTAAGCGTCGACGCACGAGCACTCAGAAACTGACTAGACCAAGAAAGACGTCAAATAGACCTAGAACGTCAGAGTCAATTGGGCCTGTAATGCCAATGCGGATGTCAATCAGGCTTAGCGTGTCAATAAGCACGCCATTTAGGGCAGGAGAGTGGAGAATGGAACTCACATGCTCTTCCACAAGGGCTGAAACAAACGCGCCTGGGAGAGTGGGCCGACCGATAAGAGATTCGGAAGGAGAGCCGATCAACAGCACCTTCTCCAAATGAATCTGACGGATGGAATTGCTCGAAGATGGATCGAGACGAGTCAATAAGTTGGCAAGAACGAGTGACACATAAGTGGAGAGATGTAACTGATGCAATGTTCGCTCCTACTATACAGTGTGCACTAGAATAAAACAAGCTATGATCCTCTCGTTTCCCACATTATCTCCATTGCACACTACTTGGTTGGAACTCATGAGAACCAAATCTTACACACGCGCGCGCACTGCAGCACCATGCATTGCAGCATGGAACCTGATGGTGCATTGGTAAATGTCTTCTGAGGTTCGAAGCATAGGCTTACAATCCCGTCAGTAGACCACCTTCAATTCAGTGTATTGCACTGCACCACCACACGAGATGGTAAGTGCAAGCAACATTGTGCAGCACCGCACTGAACCCATGCCCACCAAACCATCGACACATGTGAAGCTGAGAAATCCCACATTAACACCCTCTACCACACAACACACCATGCACAGCACCGCACTGAACCTGGCCATACCACACGACATCTCCTTGCACGATACACTCATACCCAAATGCAGCACATTGTAAACACAGGCACCGCACTAAATACATACGCACCGCACTGAACCTGCAGGCACTGCATTCAACCCATTCTCACCACGTCGTTGACATGGGCGAAGTTGAGCTTCTCCACGTAGATGGCATCTCCTGGCGTCACCTTGAACTGGTGTGACCCCACCTGATTGGACAACAATATGACGTCAGCAGACAAAAGGTATAAGAAAAATGGTGTGCTGCGCCTACAAAATACATTCATATAAAAAGGAGCTATAAAAGTAGCTTCGATAAACAGGGTTAAAGATAGGCGCCTCACGAGTTGACGAGCCTCAAACAAGGTGCTTCAGATTTAGTTTTGGGGAAACAGGGGGAGTGGAACGAACAGGAGGGTTGGAATGGGGGGGTTAGGGCGGGAGGGCAAATGTGATAGTGTGTGTGTGAATGGGTGTTTGTCTTCATCGGTGATAGCATGGGGAACAAAGGAGTGTCTCAGAGTGATGATGGTGGAAGGGGATGGGGTGGGGACAGGAAGGCTGGGGGGGAGGGGGGGGCGCAGGGTGATGCGGGGAGGAGGGGGGGGGGGGGGGGGGGGGAGGAGGAAGAGGAGGGAACACGGGGTTGAGCGGAAAAGTGAGTGCTGATTGGCGGATTAAGGCAGTGTGGTTGGTTGCTGTGATTGGCTGGGGGAGAGAGGGGACGAGAGGGGCGGACGAGGGGGGTGAGGGAAGGGGAGGGGAGGGGAGGGGAGGGGAGGGAGGGAGAGCAGCAGGGGAAATGAGGGGTGGGGAGAGGGGGAAAAAGCGGAGGGGGCGAGGGGGCAATCACAGTCTCACACCCAAGCACCGTCTCACACCCAAGCACCGTCTCACACCCAAGCACCGTCTCACACCCAAGCACCGTCTCACACCCAAGCACCGTCTCACACCCAAGCACCATCTCACACCCAAGCACCGTCGCACACCCAAGCACCGTCTCACACCCAAGCACCGTCTCACACCCAAGCACCGTCTCACTCCCAAGCACCGTCTCACACCCAAGCACCGTCTCACACCCAAGCACCGTCTCACACCCAATCACCGTCTCACACCCAAGCACCGTCTCACACCCAAGCACCGTCTCACACCCAAGCACCGTCTCACACCCAAGCACCGTCTCACACCCAAGCACCGTCTCACACCCAAGTCTCACACCCAAGCACCGTCTCACACCCAAGCACCGTCTCACACCCAAGCACCGTCTCACACCCAAGCACCGTCTCACACCCAAGCACCGTCTCACACCCAAGCACCGTCTCACACCCAAGCACCGTCTCACACCCAAGCACCGTCTCACACCCAAGCACCGTCTCACACCCAAGCACCGTCTCACACCCAAGCACCGTCTCACACCCAAGCACCGTCTCACACCCAAGCACCGTCTCACACCCAAGCACCGTCTCACACCCAAGCACCGTCTCACACCCAAGCACCGTCTCACACCCAATCACAGTCTCACACCCAAGCACCGTCTCACACCCAATCACCGTCTCACACCCAATCACCAGAACCACTGCGAACGCGTCTAGCTCCTTGATCTCTACCCCCGCCGTTTCGCTGACGTCACTCCCCCCCTCCTGCGCCGCTCCCCCCGCCGCTCCCCCTCTGAAGCGCACCGATGCGGGCTCCGCCACGCGGTACCCGATCTCCGCCGCGTTTTCCTTCCGCCATTGCCCCAGGAACGACAGCGCGAACCCTTCCCGCGGGGCACTGGGGGCACTGGCATCCGCGATAGTAACATCCGCGGTATTAGCAACTGCACTAGCGTTGAGTTGGCCTGATGTGTGAGTTTGGGCGAAGAACGGCACCTGTGCGTGCAGCGAGCGAGGCCATAACGAGGAATTTACACGAACAGACGGGACAAGCGACGAACGCTTGACTGGCAATAGTGAGTGCGACGGTGCGTGCGATGGTGCGTGCGACGGTGCGTGCGACGGTGTGTGCGGCAGTGTTGGCAAACTCCTCTCCGACGGCAACTTCGCAGTGGCGCCAACAGACTCTACGCTTGGACGAGATTGCGACGCGTTGTACAGCCGCGAAGGACATTGGTGAAGATGCGACGCGGCGAAAACGTCTCGAGATCGCGAAGCGGAGAACCTCTGCAACGACTCAAAAAATAACTGCGGATCCGCGGAGTCTCGGTATCGGCGCGTGTGGCTGCTGCAGGCACGGCCCGCCGCGATTACCGCTCGCCGCATGGCGGAACGGAACAGGGAGGCACAGGGGAGGAATTCCTGGAACCGCGTTCTAAGCGTATAAAATAACACGTAAGCAGCACGGAAAATAGGTTTGGGCGTGGTCGTACGCGGTAAAGTCAGTCGCATGGAAGTTCCTGGGTGAAATGCAAACTCAACTCAACTCAAACGCGTAGCGGGGACACCGTTATCGGTGCAGCGGCGGCAGTTGCTTGTTTTGGCGAGGGCGGGTCAGAGTTGGTGCATTTCCGTTCAGTTTTTGCGGTGTAGTACGATGGTGTGCACCTAGAGAAAGGTTCGCATCCTTCATCGCATTGAACCGCGACTCACCGTTTCGAACAGTGATGCACGAACGTGCAAACTCTGACCTGCCCTAAGGGCGCGGAAATCGCGGGACATTCCAATTCGGCCAGGTGGCCGTAGCGAAAGTAACGGATGAGCGAATCTCGCGAACATTTCGCGCACCTCGTTCAATTCGGCCACGTAAAATGTTCTACAATAGCCGAATTGCATGGTCGTCACTCCAACGAATTTTGACGACTCGCAAACGGCCACGTTGACGACACCAACCGCTAGAGTCTGCTGGCGACGTCGCCAACTGTGCACGACGACTCATCGTGGCTTATTCACGTTAGCGACTCGTGGAAATTGTGCCCACAGAACGCGACTACAATTTTAGCGCCAAAATTGTAAGCCACGTGGCTCGTTGAACCATATTTGCCCAGCACACTGATGTGCTCAGTGCCGAGCACCATACAAAGTCCATTCGACAGAAAGCAGTAATACAAACTCACTCGGAGAAGTTGAGACTCTTGTCGCCATGTTTTCACCAGACAATGCTTCTTGTGAAAGATAGAACGAGGAATGACTAGAAACAGGACAGTACAGGGTTTGTATAGGCAAAACCTAACAGGACTGTACCCCATAAGGAGTGCCCCACTACAGCCTACAATATGGTTCTGACACACCCCCATAGGCAAAGTGGGGGACAAGCAAGAGAACGAAGCAAGGTCAAGCTCAGGGTGGATCACAACGTCACCACGCAGTCCGAGCACAAGCAAATGGCCACAAGGCCTGTCCACATGCAGAGTTATATAAAGGAGAGCAAACAGTACAGTGATCACAACCTAGCAAGAGTAAGCATGTAGGTATATGTATATAGATCACAGTACAAGCAAAGTCAAGAGGTGAGCAAGTCAGGCCAGGTAGGCACAAGACCTAACATAGTGCAAAAGCGCTGATGATCACAAGGCTGAAGTGCCTTGGGTAAAGATATCAGCAGTGTTGGCCCGAGTGGCCACGTAAGCAAGACGAAGCTGACCACGCTGCTGCAACTCTCGAGCAAGGAAGTAGCGCAGAGCAATGTGCTTCGTTCTGTGCTCCAGTCTGTGCTCCTGACACAAGGCAAGCATGGCCTTGTTGTGGACGTACAGAACTGGAGGAGAACGAGGCGCCTCTCCCAAGTCGGTCAGCAGGTAGGTGAGCCAGCGTAACTCTTGTGCAGCCATGGCCCCAGCGTAGATCTCAGCCTCACAACTGGAGCTGAGAACTGAAGACGAGCGGGTAGACCGCCACGAAACAGAGCCGGAACCAAGGCTGAAGGTGTAACCCTGTGACGACCGCTGCGTAGCCAAGTCGTCAACCCAAGAAGCGTCTGCGTGACCAGTGAGGACAACTCGAGCCCGTCCTCCAAGCACAAGCCCCATGCCCGACGTACTGCACAGGTAGCGCAACACCCTCTTAGCTGCATCCATGTGCTCTGGTCGGTGTCTCCCAGGAGCAACATAGCGTGCCAAGATGCTAAGAGGGTATGCCAGGTCAGGTCGAGTGCAACTCATCAGGTACATGAGGCAGCCAACAAGCTCTGGGTACGGGCCACTCGGCTCTACGGACTCATCCGAAGGCAGAGCTGAGAGCGAGTGGCGAGTAGACAGAGGAGTGGCCTGAGGCGAGGAGTACGTGAAGTTGAAGCGCTGAAGGACCTGCTGCACCATGTGTGACTGAGTCAAGGTAATGGTGCGCCGTGCTCTGTCCCGTGTGATCTGCAAGCCAAGATAGCTGCGCAGCTCACCCAGGTCTGTGCACGTGTGTCTCTTCTGCAGCTCCGACTTCACGTGGGCCAGTCCAGCAGTGTCAGCAGTAGCAAAGACCAAGTCGTCGACATACACGAGGATGTAGAACGGTGGCAGAGTAGTGTCGGTGCGGAGAAACAGCGACGGGTCAGCAGTGGAACGAGCAAACCCAAGAGCCGCAAGCGTAGTCCTCAGTGTGTCGTGCCACTCACGGGGCGCCTGGCGGAGACCGTAGACTGGCCGCCGGAGGCTCCACTGGGTACCAGCAGGAAACGACCCAGTGAAGCCAGGTGGGCGGCGCAGCCAGATCTCCTCGTGCAGGCTGCCCTGTAGGAAAGCAGTGCGCCGGGCACGGCAGAGGCGGCTCGCGGGCTGCAGGGGTGGCTCGCGGGCTGCAAGGGCAGTGCGCTGGCTGTTAGGGGCAGCGCGCGGGCGGCTTGCACGGGGCGACGCGCGTGCCCTATGGCGATGCGACGGGCAGGGCAGGGCGGCGCGCGTGCCCTAGGGTGACGCGACGGGCAGGGCAGGGGCGGCGCGCGGGCCCTAGGGCAACGCGTCGGGCAGGGCAGGGGCGGCGCGCGTGCCCTAGGGTGACGCGACGGGCAGGGCAGGGGAGGCGCGCGGGCCCTAGGGCGACGCGACGGGCAGGGCAGGGGCGGCGCGCGTGCCCTAGGGTGGCGCGACGGGCAGGGCAGGGGCGACGCGCGGGCCCTAGGGCGACGCGACGGCCAGGGCAGGGGCGACGCGCGGGCCCTAGGGCGACGCGACGGCCAGGGCAGGGCGCAGCGGCAGGGTAGGGCAGGTGCTCACCAGGGGCGGGTAGGGCAGGTGCCACCGGCGGCGGGTGGGGCAGGCACGTGACTGGCGGCTGCAGGGTAGGGCCGCGACGAGGCGGCTGCAGGACAGGGCCGCGACGGGGCGGCGGTAGTAGGGCCGCGACGAGCGGCTGAGGGCAGGGCCGCGACAGGTGGCGGCAGGGCAGGGCCGCGACGGGCGGCGAGGGCAGGGCCGCGACGTGGGGCAGCAGGGTAGGGCCGCGACGGGCGTCTAGGTCAAGGCCGCGACGGGCCGGTAGGGCAGGGCCGCTACGGGCGGCAGTAGGGCAGGGCGCGCTACGGCGCAGGTGAGGCAGGCGCGAGGCGCGCTTTGGGCAGGGCAGGAAAAATCTTGGTGGGCCCTAAAAAAAACACGTTCCCACTAGGGAACCTGCTCTGAAACCATGTGAAAGATAGAACGAGGAATGACTAGAAACTGGACAGTACAGGGTTTGTATAGGCAAAACCTAACAGGACTGTACCCCATAAGGAGTGCCCCAGTACAGCCTACAATATGGTTCTGACACTTCTCAGTCTCCAGCTAGCCAAAGTACCGCACCTGGGACCGCCCCTGATGCTGCGCTTGACAAGCCCCACTTTATCAGGGCAAAATACCCTAATTACCCTGAAATCAGGATGCAATTTTGAATTTGCTATGTAATTTCAGAATAGTGTCAAATTTAACACAGTGGTCTCAAGATGTTGTTATAT